CGGATCCAGGTCGCTTGGATCCACCTCACTGTAATGGTACACTCGCCGTGGATCCGAGCTCTCCAATCATCCAACATCATCTCGCAACCATCTGTGATCTCCGTTGTCCCACGAAAGTTCGAGATCCACTGTATCCCTCATCCCTATACCCTGGATCCAGGTCCCTCCAGGCGGGATCCTCCCTCCTTGGATACGAACTCGGAAGTATGGGATCCGGGGTACCTCGCGGTGGATCTTGACTCTTCATTAGCCGTGGCTACTAGATCCACCGTCAGAGGGCACCGACCATCCTTCCTTCATAGGATCCACACTCGATCCACTCCTGTATAGTATATCCCATATCCATCTTAGTGAATCCAGGTAAGGGTGGATCCGAGGTAAGTCTTGGTGGATCTTGCCTTCTCGTACATCGCTCATATCAGATCCATCGTCATTCCATACGGGGTGCTGCTCGCCATGGCTAATCCACCACAGGCAACTTGCACCCGTGCCAAACAACCCAAATCCTCTATAATCACTTGAAATTGTCACTGATTCGGGATAGTGACCCCGCGTCAGGACCATTCTCTTATTTCTGAGAAAGCACTTCACCACAGCACGACAGCGAGCTGCATAGGGACGTTAGTAAGCAGGAGCAATAGGAAACAAGAGAAGCCTTGAGCACTAGAAGCCCAATTGGAAAGTGGTTTTTATTCGACGAGGTGGAGCTGATGGTCAACGAGCGGATCCCATCCATCCAACGATAGGCTGAGCGACTACTTAAGCTCGTTTAGCACGGAGAAATCCTCAGCAACTACCCATTGTAACTCTGAAAACTAATGTTTCTACTAAAACAAATGGCTTGCCAAAGAAAATAAAAAAATAGGATTAATAAGACGCTTGTACTTATTAATAAAATTGTACAGTATTACCCGACAATTTACGCGAAGGGTGGCCAACACACAGCCCTATAGATGTCCGTCTCCGCCACGAGCTCGTTGTGAGTCTCCGGTGCGGGACCGTCAGCCAGGAAGTTAACCAGCTGATCGATCTTGTCCTTCTGCGCGGCGTCACTGGCCAAGAAGCTCTGCAGATCTCCCAGACCCGATGGCTGAGCAAGACTGTCAACCAATGCGTCGAGCTCGTCTTGTCGGGCCTGTTGCCCCTCGGCGAAAACGTCGTCGTTGACCAGCAATATGTGACGCTTTTTGGAGGTAGGTGTAACTCCACCAAATAAGCTGGAACCGCCACAAAAAAAAATGGAGAATGCACACGAATGGTGAACAGCTAACACACAAAATAAAAGTGGAGTGTCCACACATATAGGAAGCAGTAGCACTTAGCACAAAGCTATTAATAATAAACACTTCATGTCAGTGCTTTTGTTCGAATCATTAGCATAGGTGAAGTGATTCGAGCACTAAGTTGTAGCGATCATGTTGTAGTTGCAGCAACAACGAGTCGCTGTCAACGACGCATCACTTTCCCTTGCAGCGTGCCATGGCACTACATTTCGGCTGGAATCCGAGCAGAGACCACACTCTACGAGGTTGGGGCTGGGACGGTGGAGTCCACGTGCCCCTTAGCCATTAAGTTAGCTTTGCAGTGTCATTTTTTAACTTGAGCCCAAGAGCTCCAGCACCACACTCCGTCCAGAGAAGCGGCACCCAAGACCGACCACCAACGCAGCTCCAAGAAAAGCACAAGTACGTTCATTGATGTTATAAAATGAACGTTTCTAGCATGTTGATTCTGCGTTCATCTACCATGTTTGACGTGCAGTGCAATGAGCTCGACATGAAGAAGTGCGTGATTGGGTCGCGCTCGTAGTCAAAGTACTGGCACTTTGGGAGTCGTCGCCATCATCTCCGTCTGGATCGTACTTGCCAACTACTTCGTTGTCGAGGGTGCCAAGGCCATGGAGGTGCACAGTATGCACGCATTGGCCATCCACGCCCACAGCCTGGATCCTGCAGCTCATTGGTCACGGCGTCTTCGATCGTCGCAAACCGGCACTCTTCGACAGCCTGGACCAGGCTCTGATCATCGCTCCGATGTTCGTGTAGCTCGAGATTTTGTTCCCACTCGGTTACCGTCCGGAACTCTACACGCGCGTGATGAAGCAGGTCCGGATCAAAGCAAGACCTTCCAGGCTGCAAAGACGCTGTAGTTGCGGCAACAAGACAGTGACTTTTGTGGCCTCATCAAAAAGAAAAATGTATTGTTTTCGATATATATATGCGAATTTTCTCGTTAGGAGGTTACGACGATCTCTGCCATCTCTGTGAGACTCTTGGCAATACCCTCCGCCCCACTGACGAGACAGTTGAGAAGTAAGAGCTCCTCCATCGACACCTTCTCGTAGCAACGTTCTTCCAGCAGCCATTCCACGTACGCAGTGTTCATCTGCGCCGCGATGTCGCTACTGAGAATTCCTCCACATTAAAAACGTCGTGCTCGCGACACATGGCAGGAGCCGATGACGCATCCGACGAGACTCTCTTGTTCTTCTCAAAGGACGAAGCTTGGGACGAGCTGCGTTAACTCTCACGTGACGACATCGCGGATCGAGAATTGTTGACATTCGCTTCCTGCACATCCAAAGGTGGAAGTTTGGACTGAATCTTGTCGCCAGAGTCCACGTCGACGACCTTCGGCTCGTCGTTCTCGCTCGCATCTCCCGCGTCGTCCTCGTTCTCATTGATAGCTGCAAGCACATGCTCCGGTCTGGCTACCAGAGCCGAGGCCTTGGGTTTACGTTGCGTGTACACCTCCACCTCGAGCTTGAGTCCGTTCTCCAGCGCCTCGACGAACTCTTCAAGCGACACCAAGCCGCTGTTATCTTTGTCCACCACACGCATGAATTCCTCGACGTATTTGTGGATCTCGCCTTGCTTGACCGCGCCAGACTGGGCGAAGATGGTCTCCAGCATGTCTGCCACTTCGTCCGTGTCGATCTCGCCGCTACAGTCCTTGTCTGCCAAGCGGAAGGCCTATTTCATCTGCATGAAAATTGCGGTCTGGTCCGGCTCCGAGTACAGCAACGCATCGCTAAAGAGCATCTCTCCAGGGGGCGGATTTTTTATGATATTTTTGGCTATTTTCTATGTCATGTCATTTCGGCTTCTGTTTATGACATTTTGGCTTTTTTATAAGTCAGAGGATTAATTGTATGTTGAGGGGCTTAATTGTATGCAGATACAGTACGTACAGTAGGA